ATATTATTTCTTGTTCATTGGCAACAACGTTTCTTATCGCTGACAGAATTTAATTTGAAATTAAAAACAATAAGAATTTCTAGTGAATTTTCCTTCGAGGTATTTAGAAAATTATGATTAATATAACTAAAACGCCATTTAAGAAAAATGCATACGTTTTAATGAAACGTTTTGGTTTTATATACTAAAACTAAATGCAGAAATAAACCAGACATTGCAATTTCTTTTTAGAATATTTCAGCATCGAAAGTCGTTGGCATAATATGTAAATGTCAAATATTGGCCAAAAATTAGCATATTTCGTCCAAGCAGCCGCAACCACCGAGGGGCGCCGATTCAAACATAGGTTTTAGTACGTTTTCCAATGATAACGATCAATGCCACCAAAAAGGAGCTAGGTCCTATCACGTCCAGAATTCGAGTAGATTCTACACAAGTGCTGTTTAGAGTTATATTTGATAGAATTTATGTGGCGTCAGTTATATTTAACAGCTGAAACTTTTCTATAATACTGAATGTTATTTGTAATATTATGCCACTTGCTTAGATCGAATTTCCTTTTTTTGTTATTTTTTTATTTATGTTTAGATTAAATTTCGTTTTGTTTTGTTAATAAATGTTATTTATGTGTATAAAATTTTCTATCAAAAAATTAAAAAGACAAATTTACTTTCTTTAAGAATTATGAAATTAAACAAAAAAATAATTTTTACAAAAATGAAATTTTTTCTTAGTCTTTTGAACTCTATTATTATTTCATAATTTTAAACTTGGCAACAAATTGGTTTCCAAAAAAAGTGGTGCAATTTTAATTGAATCCGCTCTAACGGAATCGTAGCCAATAATTTTCAATGATGTGCATGAACTTCGTTATCTATCCCGAAATTATCGGGATGATTCAAAAGATAGTTTCGAGAATTTCCAAAATGCGCCGTGTACTGATTACTAAAAAATTCTGGTAAATTCCGTTAGATGCCACGCTGAAATACTGTATTAGTCAGCACTGTCATGAGAGTTACTGATCATTAAAATACTACTGAAATTGCAACCATGTTAATCGCATAGTCATTAATTTATTTCAAAAGTTTCTTTATATTCAAAACCTGTCTCATTAATTTTAAAACAATATAAATTTGGACCTGCGGCTCTCAAAACATTCAGAAAATCTATCCTGCGGCTCCCATCGTCTTTAAGTTTGCAGATCCCTAATAATAGATGATTCTTTAGTCACTCTGAAAGCAGCTTATTCTTCCCCATACTGCCCACTACTAACATGCTGACATTGAGTTGAAAGTTCAGGAGGATTCGTATACAAAAGAATTGGGGGGGAGACTTCGGTTATTCTTTAACAATATCTGAATGATAACATTAACTGGGATTACATTAAGCCACGTCCACTATACTTTTCGATCCTTGCTCATATGAAAGATCGGAAATCACCACTTTCTGAGAACTTACTATTTAAATTTTAAAAACTTAGAAATTAAAGCGCTGTATGAAAGGAAGATATTTATTTAACGAACGAGAGAAAGTATAGATTGGGGAGGCCTTCTTCGATATTTAGCCACGAGTCAAGATTTGCACTATTTGATCGTTTATTTTGGGTTTCTTTTGCTTATGCGCCAGCTAACTCAAACACAAAATTATTTTTTTAAAAAACTTCTATGAAGTTGTTAATATAATACTATTTATATAATAAAAGATTTGAAATTTCTGATTAGAAAGACTTCATATTTTAAATAGAATAAATCACGCGCTGCCTAAGGAAGTTAAGGGGACAAGGACTGAGAGTGTGCGCACGGATCCTGAAAAGGTATCAGCGGTTAAATCCTGGAAACGTCCCGAAAATGTCCATCAGCTGAGAAGCTTTCTAGGGCTTTGCACCTACTATAGGAGATTCGTGAAGGACTTTTCTTCCATCGCAAGACCCCTTCACAAGCTGACAGAGAGCAACCAAAAGTTCTTGTGGACAAAAGAATGCGACGATGCATTTAACAACTTAAAGGAGGCTTTAACATCTGCTCCAATCCTGACGTATCCTCAGCACGACCGACCATTTATTCTCGACACCGACGCGAGCAATGAAAGTGTCGGTGCTGTTTTGTCCCAAGAAACAGACGGCCAAGAACGTGTAGTGGCGTACTGGAGCAAGTGCCTGTCTAAACCGGAGAGGAATTATTGTGTCACCAGGAAAGAGTTGCTCGCCATAGTCAAAGCTGTAGAACAGTTCCATCACTATCTATACGGCAGAAAATTTCTGCTCCGCACCGATCATGCATCATTGACCTGGCTTTTAAATTTCAAGAATCCTGAGGGTCAAATAGCCAGGTGGATACAGAGACTCCAAGAATATGACATCACTATCCGTCATCGTAAGGGATCATCACACGGAAACGCCGACGCCCTGTCTAGAAGACCTTGCCAAGAAAACTGTCGATATTGTTCCAGGGTGGAAGCGAAATACGAGCTGCTGACTCCGGTCGCAAGACAAATTACAACATCAACATCGGCTGATCGAGAACCGTGGAGTGATGATGAAGTCAGGAAAGACCAGCTGGAAGACCGCGACATTAAACCCATAATTGATCTAATGGAGTCGTCAAACAGAAAACCTACCTGGCAGGACATTTCTATCTGTAGTCCTACAACCAAACAATATTGGGCACTCTGGGATTCACTTCACATTCGAAACGGCGTCTTATACCGGAAATTCGAATCGGATGATGGGAAGACGTTCCGATGGCAGCTGATACTTCCAAGATCCCGCAATCCTGATGTCCTTAAAGAACTACATAACAGCCCTACGGGAGGTCACTTTGGAATAATGAAGACCTTACAGAGAGTTCGTGAGCGCTTTTTACTGGAATAATGCAAAGGATGACGTGCAAAAGTGGTGCCGATCTTGCGATGCCTGTGCAGGTCGGAAAGGACCTAAGAGACGCAGCCGAGGCAAGCTGCAACGTTACAACGTAGGGGCGCCTTTTGAACGAATCGCCTTTGACATCCTGGGACCTCTGCCACGAACTGCTGATGGCAACAAATACATACTCGTTGTCGTTGATTACTTCACCAAGTGGCCTGAAGCTTATCCTATTCCTGATCAATTTATTTTAAGTTCGTAAAATAGTTAAGTGCCTACATTTCATGACGATGTGAAAATGGAGTGTGCAGAGTAAAATCTCGTTTCCTATAGGCCATTATGTCTCAAAATGACGCGATTTCGTCACAAAACATAAAATAAAAAAATTTTTAATTCGAATTTCGAAAAAAATCGCTTCGAGGTGCACTGGCTCTTGTCTAAATGCACCTATCTACCAAATTTCGTAGCCGTGAGTCTATTAGCTTACGTGCAGCGCGAACGAAAGACACGCACACACAGACAGACTCTTTCTTTTATTATACTATGTAGAGACTATATTTTTCAATTTTAATAAAGTTATTTTGATGTTTTATGTATTTTTGCCTTGCCACGAAGTGTGAACTGAATTAACTGAATGAGAAATATATATCTAATGAAATTCGAGGAAATAAGTTTAAATTAAATGCAGCAAAAACAAATCGTACAAGGAAGTCATGTGGTAATAATACACATTCGATTTTTTTATAAAGCAATGGAAATATCAATGCAATGACATTAAAAATTTAATATGTTTTTAAATTAGTAATGGAATTATATTCATTTATGTACTCTTAATTGCATTTATTTTTATACTAAAAATTAGAATTTTAATCGCACTATTTGAGAAAAAAGTAACAAAAAGTGGTAGTTTGCATACTACATCATTACCAAATAAAATATTTATAAATACTTTCGGATTGTTTTCCCTTCCATAATACAAATTCTTTAGTTAAATCCTTAAATCAAATTTCAGGTATAGTAAGCATTAATTACATTAATCTACATTCCATTACCAGCAATATTCTTATATTTTAAGAAGGATATGTTTCTGAGACATGTTACTGTATTTTGAACAAGCGATGAACTAAAGTTCAAAAGCTTGACAGGTCTAGATGATATGAAAATTTCTTTAATAATATCCCAATTTATTGAACGATGATCGCTAAGCAAATCTTCGACTTGATCGACACTCAGTTATTTAAAGTAAATGATCTAACAAAGCGAGTTTCGTCTTCGATGTATTCTATCCCTTCATTAAACATCTTACACTACTCAAAATCTCTTACGCTGAATAAAATATTGCCTTCAAAAAAAGCATTTTACAAAGTTTCAAAAACTTACCTAGCGGATTTCCATTGCGAGGACAAAATTTCACGCAGATTCTTTGCGATAAGAATCGCTATTTTGGGAAATCTCCAAAGGAAAAATTCTTTATTCATTAAAAATTAATATATCTGCAAACGATAAAAGAAAATGAAATGCGAATTGTTGCCACATGTCGATGGAACTCGTCAACTTCTGAAAAATCTTCGCAAACGAATTTTGGACGCTCGCATTTTAAATTATTCATTCTCAATATTTTGATTCCAATGTACGGAAATGAATTTTAAATAACAAAAAGTAAAATGTAAATCCACTGCACTACAGAAATCTATAGAAAGCATAAAACGTAATCTGCTGTGATTGCTATGAGCAATTAAGCTGAGAATGGCTGCATATGAATTGAAGAATTTTTCATTCAAAGCAATTGAGGAAGTTTCCAAAATTACGTAATTTCCTACTTTTTCCAAGAAAAAGAAATGAAATCTTACAAGAAATCCACTTTTTACTCTATCTTGTGTTCCTAATTGGAAAACTAAATTTGAAAAAGTTGTAGTACTTATTGCTGAGTACTTCTTTCGTTGAAAATTTGTTCACATTTGTTCACTAGAAAGCCATTCTGATTTCATCTCAAGTAAAAATTTTTAATTGAATTTTATTATTTATTTATTTCTCAAAAAATAGAGACATGATTTTCAGAAATATTCAGAAAGGGAAAAAAAAAAAAAAAAAAAAAAAGATTTCTGGATTAGGTTTTTGTCATTTTGCTCCATCTACCGACTGTATAATATCGTTCATTTATTAACACAACATCTATAACACCTTATATCTATAAAACAACATCTTACATCTCCTCTCATAAAACAAAGTGTTCAAAGTTCTATCAATTTCACTCGTGCAGTCAACAGCTAAAAATTAGACAGCTCGCGAAGAAAATTGTTAAACTATGGATTTAGTATCCCACATTCGGGTTCCTGCTATGCGTCGACCTCGACGACATTATTCTACTCTTGACATCATAAAAAGAACCATCATCGTAAATAAGCCGAAACCTGAAAAGAAGTACGAAGGGAGAGGGGAAGATTGTGTGCTAAGGACAATATTGAAAGGAAACATCTTAATTGTCCTTCATCTTTGCACAATAACATCGTCGACAGTCCCTTCTATATTTCATCTAAAACGAAAAATATCTTCAATCTTTAACAGTTTTGGAAATGTTCATTTCATCTTAAAAATAGCATTTACTGAAATAAAAGTCATTATTAGGTGGAAACTCACAGTTCGGTTATCAGTTGTATCACTTCAGGTTAAGAACGTCATAATCAGTATTATTTTATTCATCTTCTTCTGCTTGAGTCCATTGTTTTATGTATTCAGCGCATGTACTTGTTTTAGTGGGTCCTTCATGATCTCCTTCTTTTACAACATCATAGGAGTCATTATTCTTTATTTTGACAATCTTATACGAGCCTAAATACTTTGATTTTAACTTATTGGTCCAAATTGCGTCCTTTTGATTGCTACTAAATCATTAATTTCATAACATTTTGAAGAACGTCTTCGAAAGTTATATGTTTTCTTATTTTCTTCTTGTACCTTAAACATTTGTATTTTCGCATCTTTTCGAAGCTCTTCTCCGTAAGTTTCAAAACTATTTTGAATTTCTGCGTCAATTATTTCTTTTCCAGAAGTATAATCAGTATTTGCTTGAAAATTAAAAGCATTTTGTTTGCTTACTTCAGATATAAAATTAACAGCTGATATTGCTTTAGAAAGTCTTCTTTTGGGGACAGAAGATTCTTCAAGAAACGCCTCTTCTGTGACGTTGTCTTATGTTTAGTTGCTTTGTAAATTGATGTTGAAGTCGCACTAGATGGCGTTGGAACAGCATCAGCACCACACAGGTCTCCCTAATGTTCCCAATCATCAGCATTAAGAATTTCTCGCAACTGACGACAACCTTTCTGATATAATTCTGATATCTTCATGAGTGATACACATTTTTCTTTCTAATTCTGCTTGTTTAGCAAATAATCTCTTCTCCATAATTTCCCTCATGCAATCTTTTTCTAAAGCTAGCATTTCTTGCATGTTCAGTTTAACATTTTGAACTTTATTTTCTTTCTCAGACAGGATTTTATCTTTGGTGATTGCTACTAAATCATTAATTTCATAACATTTTGAAGAACGTCTTCGAAAGTTATATGTTTTCTTATTTTCTTCTTGTACCTTAAACATTTGTATTTTCGCAGCTTCTATTTCATTCTTGGCATCTAATAGTTGTTTCTGTAAAATTTCTACAGTCTGATACGGAAAGTTTTCTTTCCAAAGACATAACTTGTTCTTCATGAACATCCAAATCCAATTGTAAAATAGATTTTACTTGTTTTAGTTGAACACTTTCTTTATCTCTTATATCTTCTGGGTATCAGAGATATAGGTTTGTTATCTTTTAAAATAATATGCATTTCAGAATTAGTATCTTAGGCTTGTCTTCCTTTAAGTTTTTCAGACATACCAGGATCCAGGATGGAAGTTTGATATTTCTGTTTCACCTGCGCACACTGAGCCGGTTCTTGGTGGTTGTATTGGTTGGTTACGCGGTCAGAGCGGACAGTGGCTACAGCGGACACGTGAGAGTAGCTAGGTGGACAGAGCGGACATTCTCGCACTTATTGTGTTGTTTTCCTAATCAGTCATATGTCATCTATTGTGTAGTTTCGAAGCTTTGCACCTGCTGTAGAGAAAAGCCGATACTTATAATAGAAAATGTCTTTCTCATTTTCTCAGTCGATGTTTGATCCTTATGAAGCATGTATGTCTTTTTTAGCGTCGAAAAAAAATCTGCGATGGAACCCATAGCCATTTTAAAAAAATTACTCTCTACAAAAAAAGAATGTTTAGTTGTAGATGATTACCCACACCGAAAAAATAAATTAGGAATGAGTTGGGTATGTGTAAAAGAAAAGACACATCGTTGTAAAGGAAATGTAAAGAGAAATTTTCAATACAAAGTACTGAAGAAAGTACATATACGAAGTACATTTCTGCGTGCCCAACATTACTGAGAACGAAGTTAAAAGGAAGTTAGAGACTTGCAGAAGAAAAGTCCCCCCCCCCAAAAAAAAATCAGTTCCCGTTCCCCATATATTTCCAAAACTACTTTCAGAATTATATCAAAAAGGTTATGATTTTATTACTAAAATACCGGCATACTCCAGTGCCAAGACTGTTTTATGTAAGGAGAGGAGAAAGGCTTTGGGAGCTATCCTAATTAAAAGGCTAAATATTGACAAATTAAATACATAAACTGATTCAAAAATTTAAGTTTCTCGTTTGAATATTTTGATCAATTTTGTGTTAGTTAATATTTTTTGTATTTTCCATATATTTGTATTTTCCATAGCTGTCACTGATATTACTTACTGAACCAACTCACAGAACATTTAGAATTCGTCTGCAATTTTCATCAAAACAGATAAATTCAAAGTGTGCAATTTTGCTGTTTAAGTTTTAGTTTAAAATACTAAAATTCAAACAAAAAATGCCTACAATGTTTAAATTGTAACATGCATTATTTTGTGCTTTTGTATTTTAATATGTTTGTTTATATTTTTAATATGTGTTTTTGTTTAATTTAAAAGGGTCAAAATTCAAGCAAGTAAATTTACACAATTTAAAAATTACAGTAAGCATACTTGTCTTATTTTATCTTAAAATTCTAAAAGTTAAATGCTTACAGTTACATTTAAATATTTCTAGTAGCTTTATTTGCCATTTTTTCCCCTTAAATCTTTATTTCATGTTTTATATTTATTTTATTTTTGTTTGAAAAGTTTTAGTTTAAAATACTAAAATTCAAACAAAACAATCCCTGCAATGTTTAAATTGTAACATGTTTTATTTTGTGCTTTTGTATTTTAATATTTTTGTTTATATTTTTAATATGTGTTTTTGTTTAATTTAAAAGGGTCAAAATTCAAGCAAGTAAATTTACACAATTTAAAAATTACAGTAAGCGTATTTGTCTTAAATATTTTATCTTAAAATTCTAAAAGTTAAATGTTTAAAGTTACTTTTAAATATTTCTAGTAGCTTTATTTGCCATTTTTTCCCCTTAAATCTTTATTTCATGTTTTATATTTATTTTATTTTTGTTTAAAAAAAATCTGAATTTCAGCTTTAAAAAAACTATTTAAAAATTACTAGTTTATTTAATTTAGTTTTTTTGTTTTAAAATGCTAATATGAGCCGGAAAGTTTTATATGCATCAGAAAAAGAAATATGTATTTATATAAATTTTGCAGATTAGAAACCTTGGAAGTTCTATCATTAGATGAAAAAGAATAATTCATTTATTACATAACAGTAAATGGTTTAGAAACATGTAATTTAAATCAGAATTTTCCGAATTCATTTAGTAGGAAAAAAGTCCATATCAATCATGAAATTGGTAAATTGGTAATTGTAAAACAAGTTAAAAAAATTAAGGAAATGTCGTTTTCCAAATAATTCTTAATTAAAATACTGGATTGACAGTCTCGTTAATTCACAATAAGGGGGGGGAGGACGAAGACCATAACAAAGTTTTGTTCACATCTAATACAGCAAATGCTTTATTGTGTGCTGCTGCAAAAATAATCATTAACGGTTTTTGTAATAAAATAGTAACCATAATAATACAACATACTACGGAATCATAGCACCCATATAGTGCCACCTATTCCAACTGGGCACAAAAATAAGAAAAACTAAAGCAAGTCACAATTTTTTTTTCTGCTGTAGCATTTTGTGAACCAAAGTGGTCCTTTCATTTATATCCAACAATTTAAATATTTCCATACATTGGTAAGATTTACATTTTCATACATTGGTCAAACATTAACATTCAAGCATATATTACTACAAACTGACAAAACAGCAGTGTGTGTTATGAAGCATTTCAACAAAGGTGTGTTTCTTCGTCACACACGTATATACATACATAAAAATATCTTTCTACATTAGTAATAATAATATTATTGCAAATAATATGATTCAGCATCATAAGCATAACAGTATTTTTTTAGGGGAACAGCTTTAGTACAATACATAAGTAAGAAATTACATTAAACAAAATGGTCTCGCAAAACAGATTTAATTCATTAATTTGAATCAGTTTTGCCAGCAAAGATTTTAAAAGTAGAACTGAATAAGATATATTCTCATGTACTTTTAACTCAATGAATGTCTGAATTAATATAATTTATAAGTATAATATGGGCATACTATATATGTAATATATACAATCCCTTTGTTTTCAAATAATTTTCAATCTACAACTAAGTAGTTTTTGAAGCAGCTTGTGTGATGCCATTTGTAATAAGCAAACTATGACTCTAATGATTGTATTCCACAAAACATAGAATTTGTTATTAATAAAATAAAATATACTTTAAATAGTTTTTGACACACTTCAATCTGTGTATCGCTTCATTATGAATAAATAAATTTCTTAAACAATTTTTGTGTTAGATTAATATACAATAACAAAGTTTTGTAAAGTAGAGAAGAAACATAGTAGAGGTTTTGTGGATTATTTCTCTAAAATCCCAAGTATTCAGGAATGGTACTTTCACCTTTTATAGATAGAACTAAGAACAGCTGTACATTGACAGCAAATTTCGTGTTCAGTACTGTACTGTAATTAAAAAATGAGTTTAGATGTTGCAATAAATTTTACTCTTCACCATTTAACATGTTTTGATAAATTCTATCTAAAAGCTCTCAAAAAATTGTCCATGGTGTCACTTCACTGGCTTTCTTTGAATTATAAGCAAATTTCAGAATTATTCATACCCTACCCCAAAAACATACATTTTTTTACACTTCAGTTCGTGAATTTGTAATACATTTTCTGGTATTGGTCTGAAGGTTCACGTTCCTGCACAATGAAAGAACACAACACTGCACAGAAATCGCCTCTTCTTCTAAAATGCACTTTTCAGAGAGTTTTTTTTTTTTTGGGGGGGGGGGGAAAACTTTCTTTTTTTTCTCTTAACCACAGTAAGTGTTTGACAGCAGTTTTCGTTGCCTTTTTATGTTTTCCTTTATTCTTTCTATGATGTGTTGGTCTTCAGAAAAAGATGGTGACTGCAAAAATGCTGGAATGATGGATAAGAAGCCATTGCTAGGTGGACCAATGGGAGCACCTGATTTGGTAAGATCACGCCTCATCATCATTACACGATCAAATCATGTGTAGGGCGCCATTGACAGTTTACACATCTGGGCGGACGATACGAGCTTGACGACCTTCCCATTCCAACAACAGTTCACCTAAATTCAAAGGAGATTCAAATAAATATTTAATCAAAATTTAAATAAATACTCATTCATTCATTTAAATAGAAAGAACAAAACGTTATTAACAGAAAATTGCTAACGGAACATTGTTAACGGAACAGTGTTACATAATGAAACACTGTTACATAATGGAACATTGTTAATATTGTTATTTAAATTATTAACTTTGCTTATGACAGAAAATTAAGATATTAGCTGAGAAGCTAAATATAGAGATACTGCGAGAAAACTTGGAATATCATTAGGCTTACCAGAAGTCCTCTTTTGACTAGAAATGATCTCGTCTGGCGATGCGGTGCCTGCCTCTCAGCCAGTTATTCATATTTTTCCACTTATGTGTTTAAATTTTAAAAGTCCAGAATACACTCAAATGATATTAATACAAGCCTAAAAGAGCTTACAACATTCTACAATGCATTCATTATTACACTAAGGCACAGAAAGAAGTTTTGATGGAGCAGAACCTCTTATATGGATATACAGCAGTGAATTAACATGGTCTGAAATTGAAGCTTCAGGTGTAATTAAAAAATGTTGTCTAAATAAACAATTAAAACACAACTTTGAAGCTTTAGAACAGCCATTTTATTTTATTTTTAACAATAACAATGGTAAAGCAAAAACTGGTAACCATGGTAACGCTTTACGACTGTGCAGATAGTCTCGCAGACGAATACAAAAATTTTAAACAAGGTGAAAGCATTAATGAAGTTCCCGCAAATAACGCAATAAGCATGGATCATCCTTTTGATAATTGATTAAGTTGATGATTGCAAAGGCTTTTTGGCTAACTAGTTTGAAAATTTGGAACGGGATTATTTGGGAAAATAAATACTGAGAAGATGGATGGATATTTTTCGGGCATTTCAAAGGAGTCTGATGTGTACACCACATTGCTTCCTTGTAAATATTAAATTATGCACATTTTTCTTGCATTCCATTTATACTTAACCTAAAATTAAATTAAACCTACTTCGTCGATAGCGCATAAAGCAAAATAGAATAAATGCATTCTTTAAAATTCACTGTATTTATTTACCATAGAGACACCCTGGAGCTAGTTTCACTTAACAGCGTTACATTTCATTCATTTTATAACTCGGAATGCACAAAAATGATATCATCTCAAGAATTAAATTATATTACCTGAAGAAATAAATTATATCATCTGAAGAATTACATATTTTGCCTAGGCTTTGTGTATAATGCATAAACATTCTATAGAATGACAAATGCTCTTTATTAAAAGATGTTCATTCCTCAAAAGTACAAATGTTATTTTGAAAAAGTAATGAAAGAGTCCCATTAAAAATCTGTCATTCAAAATACGTAAAAAAGTAGCGAGATGAATTTGATACAACATTATAAATTTGTATTTTTTATCTGGTCGAGACTGGGAATCAGTAAGACAACAATCTACCTGACAACGGAAATTAATTTCAGAAATAGTCATAAGTTTCACAACAATGCCCTTTATTAATAACTTTTTGTTTTTTCCGGCAGAGCTCACAAAGGTGGTTGTACAGTTCAGTATCATTTATGTGCAATGTTTTTGTATTTGGTTGAAAGTTCTTTCAACATTCTGTCGCTTCGCCCATGTCCAGTACTCAAATGAGTTTTCATGAAGTACGGGAAATAACTCGGCATCCGCAACGTAGTACTGTACAGTATTGACGCTTCCTTTAAAATGATAAATCAATGTACTTTTCTTTTCCACAAATACACATCTTAGCGATTCAGGAACCATTAGTCCCATGGTTCCTTCTTAGTAGTCATTTGGGTTTTCATACATGATTTATTAACTTCTAGTAAGTAGTTTAGGTTCTTCAAAATGAATCAAAAATGTATTTCATGCTTTGCCTGTTTCTCATTTGGTATTCCTAGGAAATGTATGAAATATGAATAATTTCATACATTCCCAGCTAGTTATAGGTATTATGTACAATGCCTTTTAATTTTTTTATTACTACGGAATTCATATTTCATGAATCATCTTCAAGAATTAGATATAAAAATATACAATTTTAAAAAATGTGTTTTAGTAATATAATGCACATGCGAAATTTCATGTGAACAGATGCCTATGAGGGCTGAAAGTTTACATAAGAGAATACTAAATCATTTGTTCGAACCATTTTAAATAAAACTAATAGAAAACAAAACAAAAGGTGCTATGCCATTCAATTGACTTCTCTACATAAAAACAAGCACTAATCTGCTGCAAATAACAGGAATGATTAAGCATTCAGCAATATAATTGAGATAAACATAGTGAGCAGGGTGCATGCACAATGCTTACTCACCTAACGGAGGCTAGTCTCCAGATATATTGCTCAACCCTGAATGCAGCACAAGAAAGATATTAAGAATGCAGGCATAATAGAATGAATGCAAATAACACTGCTTAAGGAATGATCGAAGAATATGCAAAGAAGCACACTGCACAAAATAAATAAAAAAGTAAAATGGGACAATGCTATATCTGCCGTTCTACTAGGGAAACCCGTAGAAAAGATGAGTGTTCTTAAACGTATACTCTAATATTTCAAGTCTCGTAAACTAGCGTTAGTCCTGCATATACTCTTAATATTTTCTAGTCTCATCTTCAAGTGTTCGCTACCAGTAACCAGTTCAATATGCCAAGCAGATATAAAATGGTGCTCCGTGTAAAAGGTGAACCGCACATGTTTTTCAATGAACACAGTTTTCAACTCAACACGAGTGAGTACAATGAACATGACAAGCAAATATTAAATAGGAACTCTGGAAATATGTGAATAGCACATAGGATGCACATTAATATACCTAGTTGATATTGTTCGTTTTAATGCATCAGAATAACTTCTTATATCCAAATTCTACAGTCAACATTCTCTATAAACTCACAATCACAATGCATAAAACACTGCTAAAATACTCATTCATCACAGGGTTTCTTTAATAACCCATCTTCCAGAGTAACTTATAAATTTCGCTACAATTTTTAATACTCCACGGAAAATTTTGGCTGGGCCTAGTGATAATAGAATGCTCCATCAATTGAGTCATACAACAGGAGGTACAGCAACTCAGCTGGTGGTAAGTAAGCGTACACTCTCTCTAGGGTAGAAACTTCTTCTTTTTATGGGATCAGATGAGTACCGTTCACTCGCTGAAATAAACCGGTTCTTATTTATAACTTACAACTCACTAATAATAACCTTGATGAAAAAATTCGAGAAAAAATGTAACCTTATTCGGGTACAGTATTATATTTTAATTACGCTAAAGCCCTCCAGGAATATCTGCCTAAAGAGAGTGATGCCTTCGTGGAGGATTTTCGAAGTAAAACTGGTTCGTATACATGTTACACATCAGGAAAAGCACGAAAACGTCATGCAGCCAGCCCGTTTGCCGGGATTCCAACCTACTAATGTTCAGCGACTTTACTGCTCGGCCAAGTTAGGCATAGATATTTTCAGAGAATTTCTTTGCTCCTGATTTTATTTATTGAGATGATGGTAAAGCCTTGAGGGCTATCTATCTAAGGGAAGGATGCCTTCATATAGAGGACTTTCTAAGGGAAACTGGCTCGTATACACATTTCAAATGGTGAAAGCCACGAAATGACTCATGCAGCCAATCCATTTGCGGAATTTGAACATCGTATCGAACTACCAGTGTTCAGCGACTTTATCGCTCGGCCGCTGGTGGGCTGTTTGCTCCTGAAGAGAAGAGACTTGTGTCCGATGCTAACACTGCTTAAGGAATGATCGAAGAATATGCAAAGAAGCACACTGCACAAAATAAATAAAAAAGTAAAATGGGACAATGCTATATCTGCCGTTCTACTAGGGAAACCCGTAGAAAAGATGAGTGTTCTTAAACGTATACTCTAATATTTCAAGTCTCGTAAACTAGCGTTAGTCCTGCATATACTCTTAATATTTTCTAGTCTCATCTTCAAGTGTTCGCTACCAGTAACCAGTTCAATATGCCAAGCAGATATAAAATGGTGCTCCGTGTAAAAGTGAACCGCACATGTTTTTCAATGAACACAGTTTTCAACTCAACACGAGTGAGTACAATGAACGTGACAAGCAAATATTAAATAGGAACTCTGGAAATATGTGAATAGCACATAGGATGCACATTAATATACCCAGTTGATATTGTTCGTTTTAATGCATCAGAATAACTTCTTATATCCAAACTCTACAGTCAACATTCTCTATAAACTCACAATCACAATGCATAAAACACTGCTAAAATACTCATTCATCACAGGGTTTCTTTAATAACCCATCTTCCAGAGTAACTTATAAATTTCGCTACAATTTTTAATACTCCACGGAAAATTTTGGCTGGGCCTAGTGATAATAGAATGCTCCATCAATTGAGTCATACAACAGGAGGTACAGCAACTCAGCTGGTGGTAAGTAAGTAAGCGTACACTCTCTCTAGGGTAGAAACTTCTTCTTTTTATGGGATCAGATGAGTACCGTTCACTCGCTGAAATAAACCGGTTCTTATTTATAACTTACAACTCACTAATAATAACCTTGATGAAAAAATTTGAGAAAAAATGTAACCTTATTCGGGTACAGTATTATATTTTAATTACGCTAAAGCCCTCCAGGAATATCTGCCTAAAGAGAGTGATGCCTTCGTGGAGGATTTTCGAAGTAAAACTGGTTCGTATACATGTTACACATCAGGAAAAGCACGAAAACGTCATGCAGCCAGCCCGTTTGCCGGGATTCCAACCTACTAATGTTCAGCGACTTTACTGCTCGGCCAAGTTAGGCATAGATATTTTCAGAGAATTTCTTTGCTCCTGATTTTATTTATTGAGATGATGGTAAAGCCTTGAGGGCTATCTATCTAAGGGAAGGATGCCTTCATATAGAGGACTTTCTAAGGGAAACTGGCTCGTATACACATTTCAAATGGTGAAAGCCACGAAATGACTCATGCAGCCAATCCATTTGCGGAATTTGAACATCGTATCGAACTACCAGTGTTCAGCGACTTTATCGCTCGGCCGCTGGTGGGCTGTTTGCTCCTGAAGAGAAGAGACTTGTGTCCGATGCTAACACTGCTTAAGGAATGATCGAAGAATATGCAAAGAAGCACACTGCACAAAATAAATAAAAAAGTAAAATGGGACAATGCTATATCTGCCGTTCTACTAGGGAAACCCGTAGAAAAGATGAGTGTTCTTAAACGTATACTCTAATATTTCAAGTCTCGTAAACTAGCGTTAGTCCTGCATATACTCTTAATATTTTCTAGTCTCATCTTCAAGTGTTCGCTACCAGTAACCAGTTCAATATGCCAAGCAGATATAAAATGGTGCTCCGTGTAAAAGTGAACCGCACATGTTTTTCAATGAACACAGTTTTCAACTCAACACGAGTGAGTACAATGAACGTGACAAGCAAATATTAAATAGGAACTCTGGAAATATGTGAATAGCACATAGGATGCACATTAATATACCCAGTTGATATTGTTCGTTTTAATGCATCAGAATAACTTCTTATATCCAAACTCTACAGTCAACATTCTCTATAAACTCACAATCACAATGCATAAAACACTGCTAAAATACTCATTCAGCACAGGGTTTCTTTAATAACCCATCTTCCAGAGTAACTTATAAATTTCGCTACAATTTTTAATACTCCACGGAAAATTTTGGCTGGGCCTAGTGATAATAGAATGCTCCATCAATTGAGTCATACAACAGGAGGTACAGCAACTCAGCTGGTGGTAAGTAAGTAAGCGTACACTCTCTAGGGTAGAAACTTCTTCTTTTTATGGGATCAGATGAGTACCGTTCACTCGCTGAAATAAACCGGTTCTTATTTATAACTTACAACTCACTAATAATAACCTTGATGAAAAAATTCGAGAAAAAATGTAACTTATTCGGGTACAGTATTATATTTTAATTACGCTAAAGCCCTCCAGGAATATCTGCCTAAAGAGAGTGATGCCTTCGTGGAGGATTTTCGAAGTAAAACTGGTTCGTATACATGTTACACATCAGGAAAAGCACGAAAACGTCATGCAGCCAGCCCGTTTGCCGGGATTCCAACCTACTAATGTTCAGCGACTTTACTGCTCGGCCAAGTTAGGCATAGATATTTTCAGAGAATTTCTTTGCTCCTGATTTTATTTATTGAGATGATGGTAAAGCCTTGAGGGCTATCTATCTAAGGGAAGGATGCCTTCATATAGAGGACTTTCTAAGGGAAACTGGCTCGTATACACATTTCAAATGGTGAAAGCCACGAAATGACTCATGCAGCCAATCCATTTGCGGAATTTGAACATCGTATCGAACTACCAGTGTTCAGCGACTTTATCGCTCGGCCGCTGGTGGGCTGTTTGCTCCTGAAGAGAAGAGACTTGTGTCCGATGCTTTCAAAATCAACAGAGTTATTGAAAATCTACATCAAACTAAGGCTGAGTTTGCACCTAATATGTATAACTGAAATTTCAAATTAAAATTACAAACCACGATGTTTGGCGACATTTTGTTGTTTGGCAATTTTTATAATGCCTTTTAAATTGTTTTGGCGGCTTTATTTTTTGTTTGAGGAATTTATTTCAGTTTAAAAAATTATCCTACAATTATCTAATTATTATAATTCATATTAATATAATTATTGATCATGATAGTGATGTATTTACAGCAATGAAAATATTACTCATCTTAATTTTTGCTCAAACTCAGTCTTGAGAATTTTAGATTAAATACTGGAAAATTGCCGCGAATTCGCAAACAGATGTTTTGAACAGATACAATCGAAATTTATTAATATTTTAAATCTGTGCGTTAGCCATTTTTTTGTATGGTTGGAAAGTGCTTTCAAGCATCAAAATTCTAAGTAATAACTTCCATTATTGAGATTTTCAAGGAAGCGAGCAGAATACAGTCACTTGAAAAAAAAAAAAAGACTTATGCGAGATTATCGCTTAAAATGCACAAAATGGTTTTTACAATCAATGTCATTTGAGGCTGCAGTTTTATTAATTAAAATAAAAATACTAAATTTCAATTTCCTTTTTCTGAATTTTTCATATTTTTAGCAAAAAAAGATGCAAAATCTTACTGCGGTATGCTTCGGCTGAAATTTTTAAGAGTCTGCATGAGATTATTCTCTCTTTATAGATGCACATAATCATTTTTACAATCAATGTTATTGCGATGTTGAGATTTTCTGTATTTAAACAAAAATGTTAGTTTTCAGCTTTCAATTACTGATTCAGATTTTTACAGCAACAAATGAAAACTTTTATTGCAGTGGCTTTCCATAATCCAAGCAGAATAAAGCTGCTTAAAAATGAGAGACCCACGTGAAATTATCGCTCGAAATGCTAAAAATCATTTTTCTAATCAATGCCACCCTCACGTTGAAGTTGTACTAAATTTAAATAAAAAAGTTATATTTCAAATTTAAAACACTTCGATTTCTAAATTTTAAACATTTCTATTGCTTAGAAATGCAAAAATTAAATGTGTAAAATAAAAGATACATATAAAAATATTTCAGTAGTTTTAATCGCATCACAAATACCTTTTCTCCCCCCCCCCCACTTTTACGGTCGGGAAGAAATCAAAGTGAAATTATGTTTACAAATTATGTTTCAGTGACTTGTTTTATTTTCCCATGTCTTATTTCCTATAGCAGGTAACAATCAAATCCTAAAAAGACTTACAGATATGATAGGACATAACACTGTTCTCTCTACCAAGAATCCATTCCTTGTTCCTATCTATAGGCTTGCTGGTGGGAGCGAAGACGATGATCAGATAACGTTACAATAAACTCCTGCACAATTCATCCCGGTTGACCATTTCATGGAACTGAAATGAAATGAAGAGCAATTTCTTAGATCATTTGAAAAAGTAAAAGCCGGAGAACGTGTCACATCTCCTTTAAACGAAATGATTTGAATAGTCACAAATGCAGATTCTCTTTTGAAACGAATCAAATTATAGAATTTTTTTTTTTTTACTTCCAACCGCAGCGTACAAACAGAACAAAACAAAACAGAATGCACACAAAACAAACAGGATATTGTACAAACAATGCAATAGAATGCAGTATTGTGCAAACAGAACTCAGTGAACATATAATGTTAAAAGCCAATATCTCATCATTTGCCCTCCTAGTGCTCCAGTAACTTTGTTGTTGTTACTTATGCTCACTTGTCTGACTGTAAAATCAGCCCAAACCCACAAAATTCCTCTTGGCAAGGAGTGCAAGATACGCCTGTCGTTGGCAACAGCATTGAGCACCTTACAGGTGACGGTGCTATTTAGCTCAGTTCCACCCTCCATTTTGATGGAGAGCACCCCTGGAAGATGGGTCGATGGTCTCCCACCCCTTTCCCCTTCCACCAAGCCACACGAGAGGACTTTCGGCTCGCTGCATATCCAGAGTGTCACCATGTCACGCAGAAACTAAACTTTTACAAACATTCATGCCTTGTCCAAGATTCGAATTCGGGCTCTTCAGCATGGCAGTCGGCCACGCTGACCACTATACCAGTTGGCCGGCCCAATACCTCTTCACCTCAGAGACATGGACGTAATCAAAATTACTTTATTCTAAATGTACTATAGTATACATATTTTAGTTGTATATGTACCTTATTTGTAATATGGAATTATATTGTTGCGTCTGTATGGGTTCGTTATGAATTGTTCGATGAAAAAAATGAATAAAATTTATTATTATCACAAAAAAAAAAAAAAAAAAATGCTTAAATTATCTCAGATATTCCCACTATCCCAATATCTCAAGCAAATATCTTTTAAACCACTAAAAAGGTTTAAAGTTAGAGAAAGCTAAACGGATTTCACCGCAGCAGTTTTCTAAACAAAACTCATAAAACAACTAACTAAAGAATTGAGAGGTTTTCATGCCGCTCATAAAAGCTTTTTAAATGTACAAGAATTTTTTGACACTTTCTCGAAATCAAAAAGAGATATTTATTTATTAAATGCACATGCTCTTGTATTTTTAATTTTCAGGCATAGCCTTTTCTTAATATTCGTCATGCGCTGCACTGCACGGGGAATAAAACAATTTAATTTATAATTCTACTAACATTAGCTATTTCTATACCAAATCCGTAACAATATGTAATATGTTGTACTTTAAATGCGACATGGTGTATGAACCAAAGTATTATTGTATGGCAATGTACTATCTGCCAAGCCTCTTGTATGGCACTGTATTTCAATCAGCGACTGGTGTTAAGGCCTCTCACCCTTTCCCATACCATCTTGGGATGCTCTGGACAAGGGGAATGCTAATTAATTGCTATTGTAGATGTGCGGTGCTTGTCACCTCAGAGGCTCCATGCAGCACCGGGCACATTACGATAGGGGTCCTGTCCATTTTTCATTTGAGCCACAGCTGGGCAGTTTGGGTTAGTAAAAATACCAGAACAATAGAAGTGGCATGCCCAGTGCTTAAATTGTGGCGGAGCCCAGCTCCGGTGCTTCTAAATTTTTAAGATAAATTACAATTGTAGCCAGAACACACCGGAGCCCTAAATAAGATGAGCTCCAGTACTACTTTTATAAAACTAAACCACAATTTCAAGGACAAAAATTAGAATTCCTAACGTTTTAGTTTAACAATAAGCAGATCTTGCAATACTCTATTTCCCTAGAAATACGAGCTCATGAGAACATGAGACGTTCAAGTAAAGTCCCCTCACTCACAACTCACATGTGGAAACCTTTCCGTTTAAGAAGGGCAATAAATTTGGGGGAGTTTGTTTAGGAACGCGTACATTTCTCGCCATGCCATCTTATCTAGTGCATTCTTATCGATGCTTACAGCTAGTTACCCTTCCAGGAAAGAAAATTTGTGTTCTTAAATGTGCATTAAGTGACAGCGAGTACAGTAAGGGGAAATACTGAGATAAACTGCTCAAGCACATCCTACACATCGTCTTCTCAGAGTATCCACTAATGTAACCAAATACGGGGGTGCAAAAAGCGTAACCAGAACTTCGCATTCATTCTTAACAGATTCAGACTCATTTTACCCCTGACATACATCGCTTGATGGCTATAATTGTTGGCTTTAGTTTTTCCTTATGCAAATTTTGATCGGAGTTCAATCGGTGGTAAGCTAACGTAGTTGCCGCTGATTGGCCGAGTATTATATGTACGCCGGTATTGGCGAATGAGTTATAATGGAGTTAGCATAATGCTAGTTTTCTTTCACTCAAATGATTTTAAATGTAAAGGCTACAGTACTAACTTATTTTATTTTAATTTATGGAATAAAGCATGAATTTTATTTAGATTAGTCTTAGCTTTATTTAAGGGAAGCAAAATATGATTTGCATTCATCTCCACTGCCATAAGGCTTATGGGCCCAGAGCCAACAGCTAACCTGTTACCCAGTTCAACTCAGCATTGAATGAATGTAGATGAAGAGGGCCGTTATCCATGAAAAGAAGCTGACCTGTCTTAGAAGTTTGTTCAAGTCGTTGTGCTCACGCTTAATTGAAGATGTCATTACTACCTGAAAGTTTTGAGCTGCTAAACCATGACAACTGGGATCGATGGAAAGTCGATATTAAAATGCTGGTACTGGATAGAAATTGTTGGATCTTCATAGAGGATGAAGAAGAAGAATTAGATAAAAGTACAACAAGACGTGAAAAGCAGGAATTCACACTGAGAGAGAACAGAGCCTCCACTATATTATATTATGGAATTAAAACTGAGTTCAGGCCGCTGATACAAGAATGCTCAAGTGGTAAAGAAGCATGGGAAGTTCTACAGAAGCAATTCGAACTCAAAACAAAAAGAAAGGATAATTCAGTTACTGGATGAATTTTTTAGCATTAGATATACCCCAAATGAAGAAATAGGATTATTCATCGCGAGGATAAAAATGACTGCAAAGTTGGCTGAAGCTGCACACAACTTGCCAGATCTTTTTAAAGGATTTCAGGCAATAAGGAGATTACCCAAGGAATACGCCGGCATTGTACAGTTGATCTAAGGTGGAAGGACGAAGATTTTACGCTGGAAAGAATTGCTGAAGAACTGGTAAGGGAAGAAAGCCGACTTATGGTAAATGCTGATTTAGAAGACAGCAAGGTAAGCGTGTTCAATACTATTAGTTCAAATGCAGGGAAAGATATGCAGGGAAATGGGGAACAAATTCAGAGAAATGGGGAATATGAGAATAGGACCTTGTTTCATTGTCATAAATTTGGACACTTAATCGCTCAATGTGAAGAAAATGTAAGTAAAAATCAGAAATTTAAAATAGACGATAATAATGGACAGTTTAAAGATAAAGAATTAATGTTAGTAGAAAATTATGTAACAACTACAGATAAAGGAGGTAACGCAGGTAAATTTAATTGGGTCGTAGATACTGCAGCTACAACTCATTTCTGTAATAATAGAAATTTAATGATAAATTTTGAAGAAATAGAAATAGTTGATATACGTATGTCTTTAGCTGTAGGAAATTCTGAAAGTAAAGTACAAGGAAAGGGTACCGTCAAATTTGCAGTAAAAGTAGGCAATCGAATAAATTGGATTGAGTTAGATAATGTGTTATATAATCCAAATCTAAAAAGAAATTTACTATCGGGAGCAAGGTTAGAAAAGGCAGGTGTTCATTTTGTGATTTCAAAAGGGAAGATGTGGATATATTTTAATAATTGGGATAGATTATGCTACGCTAAACGATATGACGGACTTTATCACGTAAAACCATTTAGATATGCAACAGATAAAAAGGAAGCTGGTTACGGTACAGAAATTGGAAAGTTAAATAAAGTAGACAATACGATGCTATGGCTTCGGAGATTTAGCCACGTAAATTTTGATTATGTTAAGAATACTAGTAAGAATCAAAGCGTGAAATGGTTACCAGAAATTGAAAAACCAATGGAGAGGTGTGAACCGTGTATTATTATTGCTAAATCTAGTAGAATAACTTTTAAAACTGTTCCGAAGAGATCAAATAAACCATTGCAGTCGGTTTATTTAGACGTTTGTGGCCCACTCCCAGTTTCATCTAACGGTGGGAGTAAATATTTCCTCACTATTGTGGATGACTATAGTAGATTAGTAACAGTGTATTGTATGAAAAAAAATTAATCATTCTACAACTTTAAGAATTATCATAGGCAAATGGAAAGACTGACGAATAGGAAATTAATAAGTATACGCACCGATAACGGTGAGGAATTCTGCAACAGGCAATTCGAAGGGTACTTAGCCGAAAATGGAATTAGTGTTGAACGCACAAACGCGTACAGCCCAGAAGAGAACAGTGTGTGTGAACATTTTAACCGAACGGCATTAGATGCAGTTAAAGCTATGCTTAATGATGGTAAAATGGGAAAAGAATGGTGGGCAGAAGCTCTTGGCTGTTTCATACATACATGGAACAGAGTATGTCATAAAAGCAACCGAACCCCTTATGAAATGTTTCTAAATAGAAAACCCAATGTTGTTTATTTTAAAATATTTGGTAGTTGACATGCGAAAACAGATTAGAAATAAATTACAAATGAGGTGCAAAGAAGAAATCATGGTAGGATATGTGAAGGAAACTATGGGTTATAGGATATGGCTACCAGAAGAACGCAGATTAATAGAAACCTGTAATGTGAAGTTCGTTGAAAAATTGAATTTGATGATACTTTGATTTCTGTTCCAGGATGCCATTTGCTTCCTGGAACAGAAATCAGACAAAAACTGGGATCGATGGAAAGTCGATATTAAAATGCTGGTACTGGATAGAAATTGTTGGATCTTCATAGAGGACGAAGAAGAAGAATTAGATAAAAGTACAACAAGACGTGAAA